ATATTTAGTTCTCAGTAATAAGTAACAACCACACACAGCAGAAACAGCAGCACTCTACCTACCGTGGCCTGGGTTTGATCAGTGTTGAGGTACTGCAGAGGGTCCAGGGAACAGGTGGACTCTACTTTAGAGATTGGACGAGGAGAGGACACTCGGGCAGAGAAAGACAGACTGTAGGGCACCAGAGAGGCTGGAACAGAAGTTACCTGGACTCCTGCACCTTCACTACCTGTACTTGACATTAGAGATAGTTGCAAATCACTGTGGTACATTTTTACTGGGACTCATGTTTGTTACAAGCATGATTGTTTTGTGATAAATATTTAACTAAATTAATAAGTGTTGGATGATTTTCCTACCCTGAGGCTGGTATCGAGGGTTGAGCACAGCAGGCAGACAGAACCTCAGACCATCATCAGCCTGCACAGCCAGCTCAGTCACGTACTCCAACCTGATGGAGGCGCTCTCTCCTGGAGGCAGACTGCCCACACTCAGAGAGAATATATCTGGACTCTGATCACTCTCCTCCAATAGGAAAGCCTGCTGACCAGAGCTCAGAGCATCATCATACTCCTCATGAGCCTGAAGGACAGGTGAGACATGTCAGTGACATTCACTGTGTTTATTGTTATTTTGAATCTTACTTATAATCAGGTTATATTTTCTCTCCAGCTCACCTTCTGTTTCTCCTTCACCTCAGCTACAATCTGTGTCTGTCCGATCTTAGCACTGAAATGACAGACAGCAGCATCTCCAGGCAGAGGGAAGACAAAAACAGCCTCTAATGGTTTGTCCTCCTTATTCTCGTAGTTCAGAGTGGAGACCACTGTAGCCACGTGGTCCCTCACCTCCAGCTCCACCTCAATGCTCTTCAGAGGAACTAAAAGAAACAGAACAATCATAAATACATAAACCATGCACAGTTTTAAAAATGGTTGTTACTTGTGTTACATTTCAGCCACACAAAAGTTAACCATTAAACCAAGCTGGTACTTAAACATGACTGTCCAACAGTGTTGCAAAGTTTGTTTATTTATTTATATTATTATTCATTTATTTTATTTTGTTTGTTTCTTGTATCCATCATTTTTCTTCTGTGCTTTTGTATCACAAGGTTATACTCTGCATTAATCGTAGCCATATGCAGCAGTACACTACTGTCCAAGATGCATATGATCAACTTCACAGAGTAAGCTTGATGCCATCCAGAACTTTTCACCAGTGGGTGTGGGAGAAGCACAAGATTTTCTTATGTATACTTTGGTCAGCAGAAGGTGAAAATGGCCATGAACCTCAATGCAATTTTCATGTTGATAACCTAAAGAGCAAATGACCATCCAGCTATTGAAATGGGTTTGTTGAGTATTGTCTCAGTCATGGGGAAATAATCATTTATTATTATGAGCCACTACAAATAAAAAAAAGTCTTTACATTTGACTTTTAGATGAATGAAAAGAGGCTGCAGAGAAAACAGAAGCCCCTTTACTTTCTGTCAGTACCTGGTTCCTTCTGGAGAGTTAGCAGACCACAGCGGTTCATCATTGTACCTGTGAAACAAAAACATCTGAGGACTTAGAGTTGAAATAACATTCATAGGTGCTCTATGACAGTCTTTAGCTATATTAATATATATATATATATATATATATATATATATATATATATATATATATATATATAAAGGAATATTTCCAAATTAATCTCATCAGATAATATTGTGGTTATGACCATGACAAATTTTGATGATCTGACTTCCAGTATTATAACTGTTTTTAATACTTATTGGTTGAGGGTTAAAATTTTCACCTAGTTTTCCTCTGATCACAATGATAAACAATGACAGCAGGACCTCCTCTCAAAAATCCAAGTTGGAACCAACCATTACTTTCACTCTCGTTATCTTCTTCCTGTGATCAACCTCACCGAGTTTAAAAACAGCATGAATATCTCAGATTTAATGGTTAATTGTAGCCACACAGACTTTGCTTATGGAATCACATCATATACATATAAATCATTGTGAAACCATCTATATTACTACCCTAAGGTTGTCATGCAAGCATACAGAAATCTGATGTTACGCATAATGTACAAAATATCATTCATTTTGCAAAGTTATAAAACATGTTAATTAATTGTAAAACAAAATATTTCTTTTTCTGTTGCTTGCACTTTTATTCAATGTAGTTTACTCAAAAGCTTATTTACTATCCTCTGAACACAATGTGAGTTTTCAACAATATCAAGTACATATTAATTATGTTGTATTTATGACAAAATCTACCCTTTGTTATTTTGATGCCACATAAAAGAACTAAAGTATACACACACAACCATCCAACCCAGAAATGCAATCTGTCCAGCATCTGTGGGGTTTGCCCTAAAACGTCCTCCTGGTAGGACATGCAGGAAATACCTCCTCTATGCATCCTAAACATCAACTGTTTACACACCGAATGAGCAAAGAAGCGGAGCCATTAGTTGGGGGAGAAAGAGACTTTC